AAGAATGCATATAGCCTCTCCACCCTACCTGTAAGTCACTCAGCAGGTTATCTGACTTGTGTTCACAGGTACGTGCTTCACACACCTGGGTGCGAAATGAGCGAAGTCCGGTCTAATAGCCATTTCAGGAGTCACTAGCATTTCAGATCGCTCACATGAAGTGCTTCCCCACTTTGCCTAATCTTCCCATCACGCAGCTTGGTCTCAAGCTTTTATTAAATGTGAGGAATTCAACAACTTTGAAATTCAAAACTAATTAGAGAAAGAAAACTGCCTTTACTTTTCCTGTGTCTCATTGTTTTACCTTCTTACATTCTGGGGATACTAAAGCACCGTATCTTTTTCAGAATGACCCAAAAACTTGTCAGAAATGCTTTTCTGAAAATGTTTGTTCTCAACTTAAAGCTTTTTACCCTTGGGCAGCAACTTTTGAGTATGCATTAGAAGCAGGAACTGCAAATAGCTGATTAAAGGGTAAAGTAGTGTAGGGGGAAAAAGGATGGAAAAGTTTAGGAAGGCACATAGCTCAGTGCTTAAGGGAAAGGATTTTGGCCCAGTAAACCTCAGTTTGAAGTGTGCTAGCCACTTACTAGCTAAAGCACCATTAGACAAACTAGTTAACCTTCCTAAATTTTGTCACTTGTTCAAGGACAGCAACAAACTTAACTCTTCAGGCTGTTTGGGGATTACCTGAGAGAATGTACAGCACCGAAGTAGCTGGTATTTTTACAGACCCTAGATAGTTAAAGTTCAAAGGGCAATACGGAATCATTAATGTGAAAGGAAGAAAAACAGATTTAACTGCGCAGTAAAGAATGTGTCATACAGAACCAAAACTAGTAGTGAGGATGAGTCAAGTGGTAGCTGTGTTTTGTCCTTTTAGAATGGAGGTAAAAATGATACAGGGGGATATTAAATGCACTCAAAGTCTCTATTGGTAGTTGTCATTCAAGGGGAATGCAGTGATTTTTTTTTCAGTGATTGTTTTTGCTTAGTAATCTAAGCAAGAAACCATAATGTGGCCTGCGCTAAAAGAGGAGAAGAAAAAAAAGTACAAGGATTCTTGAGAAACTATGGATTTAAATTAACAGGACTTTGTGGCTAATTGGGGGTGAAGGAAAAGAAAGAATCAGAATGACACCCAGGTTCTGGCTTGGATGCCAATATCATCCATTTACTGAGACACCTGGTGCTGCACATATATGGGTCTTGAGTGCAAAAAAAAAAAATCTGAATTTAGATACAGATCTTAGAACCATTAATACTTATAGGATGTTAATTAAAGATATGGCACAGATTACTCACGGGGAAGTTTAGAGTGAGAAGACTTATAATCAAAATCCTATGAAACTGCATTACTTAATGGCTGTAAAGAGGGAAAATGTGCAAAGGACACAGAGATGGCAAATAGGAGGAAATACAGGTAGTGACATAAAACTCATGGAAGAGTCCAAGAAGGGAAAGTAGTCAACAGTGCTAAATGTTGCTGAGAAATTGAGTACTCACAAAAATCCATGGGGTGGCTGGCCTTGGTGGGTGGGTGACCCAGGGTGCTTACACTGGGTAAGGAAAAAAAAGGTATAAGAGGGACAGATGGATCTCCTCTTCTACCAAAATATGGCTGACCACAAAACTATTTGTAGTTCATTTTTCTAATGACATCCAAACACAGAAAACCAAATTCAAATAGGTTCACAGACACATCAGTCCACAAATAAACACTTTCCAAGTTATCAACAAAAAAGATACTTCCTAAAACATTTACTTACTTTTATAAACAAGCCATATAGGAAAAACACTGTAAAGCTGTTAAAGTTCTCCTATTATAAGAACAGAGAACTTATAAACACTAAGCCACTGGCTCTATGTTCTTTCAAGTTTTATCAACATTAAAATTTTTCCCATTAAATTTCCCATTAACATTTTTCCTTACATTATTAGGAGGAAATGAACTACCAATAGAGACTTTGAGTGCATTTAATATCCCCCTGTATCATTTTTACTTCCATTCTAAAAGGACAAAACACAGCTACCACTATTCATGTTGTGCCCCAATATCTAGGTCAATTTAAGAGTTTTCTTCTCCCTATAGAAAACTGATTTTTACTCTCCTCATGAAATGAATGTACTAAGAGGTTACTCCTAGTTCTGTCAACCAGAGATCAGTACAGGACAGAGTAGAGAAACCACCAAAAAACAGTTTCTCAAAGATCTAGTGTTTCCCAGGGTATAAGAGTAGGCAAATCTTTACCTTGGGATACCCACTAAAATATGATCAACAGCCAAACTTGAAATGACTTTCACTAAAATCATTTTTATAATTATCTTCATCTCTTCCTGGTAGCAATAAGATTAAATTTTGTTAAGAAGACAATCAAATACATGTTCTCATATTCACAATAAAGGAAATATTTGTGATATAAATATGAAAAATTTTAAGTTTCTCTTTTCTATTCCTAATTTTCCAGACATTAACAAAGTAGACATTAAAAAAAAAAACTTTTCCCTGAAAAGAACACAGACATACCAACATTATCTCTGAAAGTTAGAAATACTAAGTTATCAGCAAATTGAAATGAATGTTTACAGAAAATAAATTTTTCAAGTTGCAAAATGAGCTAGACTATTTAATTCAAGAACATACTGGCTCAACTACACTGGTTCCATGAATGAGTTATAGCTCAACCTAGGGCTTATTAATTGACCCTCATTTACAAATTAAATTAGTATTTAGAATTGTCTTGAATTTTATGTTAACACAACTTAAGTTTATTCTGGACCCTTAGTCAACTAGTTCATAACCCAAACAGTTACAGCCTATGCCATTTAATAGACTACCTAGTAAGAGTATACACTGTCAGCAGTCGTTCCCAAACAAAGTGACCTTAAGTCAAACAGAAACAACACATGCTCAGCGCCATTATGTGTCCATCCAATCTTCTTACCTTTAACTAAAAAAAATTCAATACTGGGAAAATGCTGATATGCCATTTCAAAACCTAGAACTACAGATACAAATTCTCCATTCTTAAAGTGTATTTTTAAAAACTCAAAATTCAGAAATACACAAATATTGACAAAGGCCACTCATACAGGTTTAGAGATAGGTAAAGTAATGTAACCGGCACCACTCCAGTCCCCTAATGTTAAATGGCACTGCTCCAGTCCCCTCTCTAAAAATATTTCTGATATATTTTCTCAGAAGAAAATATTTCCTCTGGTATATGTCTACCCAGCACATGCTAAAGAAAAGCTGGCCTGAACAACAAGGCCAGTATAAAACATTAAGCCCTGTATTTATTCATAGCAATGCATATAATAAATAAATACCTAACAAAGATATAATTGCTCATTTAAGTGGATGAAAAAAACAAATCTTTCCAATTTCCTTCAGCTGATTTTAATGTCCAGAAAATGGATTGAGATCCCTCTACATATTGAAAAATGGAGTTTAAAATAGGCTATTAGTTTAGGCAAAAACTAATCAACAAGTCAGAGTGCTCCATAGGCACACTTTAATAGAACATTTAAAGGGCTACCCATCAGGAATATTTTGGAGCACATCCTGCTGGTGGCAATATAGATTAGTATAACCCTTTTGAAAAACAATTTGGCCAGTGAAGTGTTCATATCCTTTGATCTAGATAAGCCCACTCCAGGGGGTTTGTCCAAAAGAAATCAATCTTTTTTAAAAAGGAAAATATTCTAAAGCTATACACAGAAGTGTGTTTAACACAACACCATTTAAAATGGTGAAAAATCAGGAACAGCCTGAACAGGCGAAAGACGAGGTTAAGTAAGGCTGCATCGACTTAAGAGAAGTATATAGCTATCAAAATCAAAACAATTTTAACAACATATTTTTTGTAGAAAAAACATAAAACCAGACTTATTCACAATTATTAGAAAAATGTGAGAATATAAGATATACAAAGGAAGAGGAAAAAAATAAAAGATCACCATACAATGATCTCCTTGTGGGCATATGTGTGACTTTTCTTGATTTTATTATTATAATATTGTTTAAGCAACAGATATAGCAGAAAAGCATTAATTTAAAAACCTTTGGATGATCTGGATTAAGTAGTATAGCAAATAAAAGTACAATGGCTGAAAATGCTTAGCTGGCATTTGGTCTGCTTACTGAAATGAACTTTCATACCTTAATTTCTATGAGAGCAAAGAGCAACGATATAAAAAAAACAGTTTTCTAAAAGTAATCTGGTACTGAAACACACTACAATCATTTCTAAGTAAGAATGTTAACAGATTCATAGATACTTTTTAAAAAAAGTTTTGGTAGTCTACGTATAGCTTTGAAAAACATAAATCCATTCATTTCCTGTTTCAAAAGGGTGTTACTTATCTCCATATTTGAAAGAAATGAAGAGTTTGAATGAAGTAAAAAAGCTGTTTTACTTTGTTCATAACATCAATCAATGACCTTTTAAAAAACCAAGCTAAAATTATGAGCATATAAAAACGTCAATATTGCTAAATTTAAAATATATTTAAGTTAAAAGGGGACATGTGCTAGGAGTAAAAAAAAAAAATTAAACAGGCATTTCAATTCTTAAGAAAAAAAAAACAAATTTAAGCTTACCACATTTATCTGTCTTTTAGCAACTTAACATCTTAAGTTTAAGAAAAATGACATATCAAATAGACCTCCTCAAGATGTCATTTATAAAAACTGACAAATGACTCCTCAAATATCCAATCCAAGAGAAAAGCCTGTTATGGGAGATGATTTTGATTCAAAGATTTTTTAATGACACTCAAATTCTGAACGAAAAATAATGATAGTAGAAAGTCAAGTTTGATTCTCTGAACACCTATTTCCTGTCCAAACAGCCCTTTTGTTCTGCTTCCCTGCTTAATTTTAATGTTCAGTTTGCATCAGAAACTAAAAACAATGACAAAACCTAGCACATACAAAAGCATAAAAGAGCAAAAGTATAAAATAAAGGATCATAAAAAGATTAGAGCAAAAATCCTACCAACAAAACCTCCACAATTTTCTGTTTGCTTCACCTCAGATTAACTTCACTTGAAGCTGTACTCCAAAGCAACCAAGCCTGAATACCAGGCTCCACCTTCTCCAATTCTAGTGGCCGAGGAGTAAAATCTCCTCCCTGGTAGTGGAGCTGGTAACTGTGATTGGACACGGCTAATATCCATTATTTTAAAGAACTTTTCCTTGCTAGCAGGTTAGGTCAGACACACTAAAACCCCCCGGATAAGCTGGTTTCTTAAAGAAACAGTATGCAGTGTTTCAGTTTTCCCACCACATACTGCTTGCTTACTCTTTTGTCTAGGGGAAAAATAAACAAACCAAGTAACATCAATGAAAATCTCACAGAAGCAGCTTTCATTTGGAGTTTAGTGACCAACTGTTTAAAATACAATGCTTTTAACCTAAATCACTTGATTATTTTTATAGAGCCATGAAGGTGAAGTTATGCTTTAAAAGATTTCTTTTTTAATAGAGTTCACATTTCATCTGAATATTTTAAAATGGCAACAGAAAACCCACTACAAAATTTCACCAAGAAGAACAAAACAGTATTTTCTCCAAGATTTAAAGACCATAACTTAAATGAAAATATACAGCACTAAAATATTGAATACAAAGATTCAATTCTAAGCTATCCATCAAATTCACTGACACTTAACATTCTCAATATCACAATAAAGTAAAAATTTCACTGACATCAAAGGTAGATATTTCCACTTAAAACTGAAGAAAAAACTGGGCAGAAATATTATTGCTATATTACCACATTTAACAAGTCTGACGTGTAAACATTTTGCCAAGCAAGATATTAAGCTTATCTATTTGCAAACTGAGATCAAAAAGGAAAAGGCTTTTGTTCTAATGACATGTTGACGTATAAGGTTTAAGATTTTTGTCTTTTAAAAGGCTAGAAACTACTTTGCACCCTACTTGAGCATGACTTCAAGGTGGCACGGGCACCCGAAGGTGCAGCTGCAGTGCATATTCCTCGGAAACCATTCACTAAGCTACCTTAGATGATATTTCTACTACAGAGGTTCTCAAGAGGTAACATATAGGCACTCTGATTTTTTAACAAAAAAGACCTACTGTCACTTTATACATTATTAACTTTATTATTTTATGATATAAGTTTACATGTTTTAATTAGAACTGCTTCTGTTTTAGTAGCTTGGCCCATTAAACATTATTCTGACATTAATCACCCTACTGATTCAATCACATTTAGTGTGTTTACTAAAGTGTAATTTTTACCTCTATCAAACATTTTGACTGTTTCATAAAAATAAATTCAAAATTAAAGCAAATAGGGTGGTATCTTCTTAAAATATGCTTTCAATAAGTTTATATATTAAAATTTTTAAATTTAAATCTACGGTTTTCAAAGCTCAAAATCTTACAACCATTTTTCCTCAGAAAAAAAGTCATATATTAGAACACAAAGCCAACAAAATTGTTTTGAATACAAAGGAAAGTCTTTGTAACAAACTGAAAATTCACATAATTGCAACTAGACATGAATATGGAGCAATACCCTGCTGAAGCCCAAACAGCTGCATAATCTATTATGCCCTTTAAGTGGACAAATTGAAAGAGCCAATTCACCGAGATCTAGTCCCAAGATCCTTTGCAAGGACTCACTGCTTTGAATGCCCAGCACTTCATGAGTCAAGTTCAGGTTTTCTTCCCACTGTGTGGACACTCTTGCAAAAGAAACTTGGAAGCTGAAGAGGTACAGGAACAATCAGCAGAAAGAATACATAACTTGAATTACAACATAAGACTTCAGGAAAACAGATTGTAGATAACCAAAATTTTTAGAGAAATTTTCTTCTTTTTGTATTTTTATAGGAAAATAGATGACAGATATTTTAATCCCAAAGTTAGGCAAGCATAAAATTAGTAGATAGTTATGGGAATGAAATAAACCTTTGCTCTGACATCAGTTTTTCACTTCAAAGTTAATTATTTGTATGAAACAGACACTAATCACACACTAATATAACCAAGACCACTATCAATCTATAAACAAGAGAAAACAGGGACATGGACTTAGCAATTCCAGATTGTTCAAAGATCTTCATCCAAGACCTATCTGAAAGAACTTCAAGATGATAATTATAATTTTAGGTGGCATACAGGTTAAAGTTAAGAGCATTTGAATTCCATTTCTAAATCAGCAGAAGAAAATAACAGTAAAAATAAAAGGAAAGCACTATCACAACCATAAAATTTATAACTGAGATTACATGAAAATAATATTGCTTCATAGGAACAAGGAGCCTGCAAAAGCTCCAAAGTTCTCTGACTGCATGCAATAATACCATTTTTTTGAGCATCAGGTATTCAAAGGATGTATTGTATATTCTTTGCGGAAGCCCAGAGCTTTTCCCGAACGCATCAGCTCAAAAACAATTCAGAAGAGAACAAGCCACTGAACAACTTGGTCCCACTTCACTTTTGATTAAAAAGATCTTATATAAACAATCAATACCTAGACAATCAGAACAACTTTTGGTAGAGTATATACACAGCAAGCAAAAACTTTTTTAGAATTTAAAAGTCCTCAGAATAGCTCAAACTGCTCTTTGTATGAAAGAAATTAATCCTGAGCACTCTCCCTAGGTACTACTGGTGGTCTATGCAGTGATTTGATAAAAAGACTACCCAGACATTAGCAAAACATTACTGGGAACACTAAGGTAAAGTCTGAAAGCTACCATCCAATGGAGAAAAAAAATAAAAACTATTTCTCTCGCAAATACACATTGCCTACAAAAGTGAGGTATGTATTTGAGTTTGCACCTCCCGGTGTATCTCTTCTAACTCATTAAGGGGAAAAAAAATATTAAATACAAGGTGTCTAAGAGGAGTTAGGGAGGGTGGTAAATAAATAGCCCATTCAGCAAAACAATGAACACAAAGGAAACATTAAGGAAACACACAGATAAGAAGGCATAAACCAAGCTGATAGGAAGAGATATCTTTCTATAAGAGACAGTAAATCGCTTTGTTTTAGGTCAAAGGGATAAACAAGGCCACCAATAAAAAGCAAAATAAAAAGAAACAGTGATCACAATAGTGGGACAAAAGTAAATAAAAGGCATTCATAATTCTCAACTATTAAGATTTAACAGTCATAAATTTTTGAGTGCCAAATAACATGCCATGGGATCTAACATTGCTAGACATAGAAAAATGGACAGAAAATAGTTGGGACATACTAAGTTTCTTCTCTCTCCTTAGCAGCTTAAATCAGAAAAAAATAAAAGATTAAAAGACAAAAATTAATTTTTTATATAGCTATCAAAAGAAAAGTTTTTCTTGACATTCAATTTTTAAAAAATCAGTCACAAAGAAAACAATTCTGAAAAGCAAAACTAACAATTCTGAAAAGCAATTCTAAAATTGAATAGGTAATATTCCCTGTCAATTATACAGTAACATCCAAAATAAATAGAGTCTGTTTACTCACTCACCCAAATCTTTTGAACATCTACTACTGATATGTGCTCAGCACCACTAGCTGCTGTAGACAGCCTGGCAAACAAAATGGAACAGTCCCGACCACTGTAGAAACTTACAGGCCAGAGTCAGACTAGTGCTGTTTCACAGAAATATAATGGGAGCCACAAGTGATTTTTGATTTTTTAGTACATTAAATCGTTAAAATAAATAGGTAAAATTACCAGTTATATTTAACACAATACATGTAAAATATCATTACTTTAATATGTAACCAATATTTTTAAAGGGAGATTTTTCATTCTTGTTTTACACTAGAAATCAAGTTCATATTTCATACTAATAGCACATCTCAATTCAGACTTGTCACATTTCAATAGCCAATGGCTATTTAAATAAAACACAGTAGCCATTAGCCACATGACCATAAATTAAGATAGATTTCTATTTTTGCAGAAGATTCTATGTCTGCTGTCCAATACAACAGCTACTTAAACCACATATGGCCATTGAGCACCTGAAATGTGACTAACATGAATGAGGAACTGAATTTTTAATACCATCTAATTTTAATTCATTTAAATAGCCACAAGTGACTGGTAGCTACCAGACTGTAAAGCACAGCTCTGGAAGAACAGACACTAAAACAGATCACACACACTTGATGAGTTGCAGTTGTTGCAAATGTTTACAAAAGAAATGCCCAATATGAAATAAGCTGACATAGCCCATAGAAGGATCTAATCTATTTTGCAGCATCAAGGAAGGATTCCTGCAGGAAATCACAATTAAGGAAGAGAACAATATATGCAAAGGCCTTGAGTAGAAACTGAAAACATATTAGAAATAATGAAGAAAAGAACCAAGGGGCAAAATAATGTAAGTTATTTGTAGGAGACTGATTTGGATCACAAAATCTAAACTGGATAGGAAGGTGGAGGGGTGGAAGCAGCCCTCCCACTTGTAAATAATATCTCCAAAAAAAAAAAATTGAAACAAAGTTTGTCCCACTCTCCACACTCAATAAACTCCAGTCATTCCAATCTCCAGTTAAAGTCGAAACCGAGCCAAGCACTTTCCGTACCCTTTGTGCTAACTGTTCCCTTCACTTGGGAAACTTTCTCCAGCTCCTCCTCTAGCTTAGAACTCAGAATCATAGTTCCAAATTTTCTACACCAGACAAGCTTTGGAGGAGTAATCTAGTTGGAAGATGGAAGAGGGACTTGGAACTGTTCGAAAAATAATTTTTACAAAAAAAAAAATTTACCAAAAAACTGTCATTATTTCTTGAAAATGTTCTAACAAATTGAGGAAGCTAAAGAGACTCTCAAACACACCTTGGTACCACTTCTCAAATGCTACATCCTAAGAGAGACATTCTCAGAACACTCAATTAGCACCTTCCATTTCTTTACTTCCTAGGCATTTAGGTGATTAAATACCTGCTGAACGAATGAAAACTGCAAATGCAGGGACTTTCAAAATATATATAAAATATTATGCAGCAAAATTTAAGGAATATAGCTAAAGCTATGCCCAGATGGAAATTTAATTGCATTAAATTTTTTTCATTGTATAACATAAAATATTAAGTGTAGAAATAGCACATTCAACTTTTTAAAAAAAGTTAAAAAAATTCAAAACCAAAACCAATTTGAGGCCCTAAAGGAATCATCTAAAAAATTTGAGGACTAAGAAAGCAACAACCAAGAATTTGGGGGTGGGGGAGGCTTACAATAGCAAAATGAAAACATTATCTGTTTCACTAAATAAAAATATCATGCCCAATGCATGCAAGAGTGCACTGGTACCAAATCATTGGTATTTCAGTAAAACCTAAAAAGAACCAAGTACGAGTACATTTAGTATATGAAAAATGTAGCTTTTATTTCAAAGCAACAACAACAATTTTTTAATGAGGCTGAAATAACTGGTTCGCTATTAAAGAAATATAAGAGAAATTACTTCACTTCACTAGACAAATGGCACTAGACAATGGCAAAGTGCTACTATCCTAAGGCTAAAAAGGATATCACAAATATAAAACACCACCCAAAATGGGGAAAAGGCAAACTAGAAGATGTCCAATATCTATATCTCTAATTACTATCATAATTAATCAAAAAAGATTTAATAAATCTGAAAAAAAGGGAAGGAAGGATGGATAGATGGGTGGATAGACCACAGTGTCAGTAAAGATACACAGGAAATGTGAGCTGGGTGCAGTGGCTCACACCTGTCATCCCAACAACTCTGAGGCTGAGGCAGGGTTTCACTGAGGCCAGCATCACTTGAAGCCAGGAGTTTAAACCAGCCTGGGCAACACAGTAAGACCCTGTTCCCCCCAAAAAAAGAAAAACAAAAAAGGAAAAGAAGATAAAAGAAAAAGAAAAAAAAGGAAAAAGAAAAGAAAAGAAGCTGGATGTGGTGGCAAATGCCAGTAGGCCCAGCTTCTCTGGAGGCTGACGCAGGAGGATCCCTTTAGCCCAGGAGTTCGAGGCTGCAGTGAGTTCCAGCCCAGTTCCACCCTGGGTGATAGAGCAAGACCTTGTCCCTAAAAAAAATTAAAAATAATTATAAAAAGGAAATGTGTAT